TTTGTTTCTTTGTTAAGTTTCTGTCTGGTGGTCCTGTCTAGTGGTGAAAGTGGGATGTTGAAGTCTCTTACTATAAGTGTGTATGTGTGGTTTTATGTGTGGTTTGAGCTTTAGTAATGTTTCTTTTACAAATGTGGGTGCCTTCGTATTTGGGGCATAGATGTTCAGGATTGAGACTTCATCTTGAAGGACTTTTCCTGTGATAAGTATGAAATGCCCTTCTTCATCTCTTTTGATTGATTTTAGTTTGAAGTCTAATTTGTTAGATATTAGGATTGCTATATCAGCTTGTTTCTTGGGCCCTTTTGACTGGAAAATCTTTTCCCAACCCTTCACTCTGAGGTAACTCCTGTCTTTGAAGTTGAGGTGTGTTTCTCTTGTATACAGAAGGATGGATTCTGTCTTCATATCCATTCTATTAGCCTGTATCTTTTTATAGGCAGTTTAAGACCATTGACATTGAGGGATATTAACATCCATTGAGTGTTGGCTCTTGTATGTTTTGAATTTATTGTTGGTGGTATCATTGTTTGTAGATTTCGCCCTCCTATTTCTTGTTGTGTTTGGTAAAATTGGATTATCTATTGCCTATGGTTTTTTGTGTGTGTTTAGTTGAAGTTTTCCTTTCAGAAATTTCTGTAGTGCTGGATTTGTGGATATGTGTTGTTTAAGTCTGAATTTGTCATGGAATATCTTTTCTCTCCATCTATAGTGATTGAAAGTTTTTTTGGGTACAGTAGTCTGGGTTGGCATCCATGCTCCCTTAGTGTTTGTAGGATATCTATCCAGGACCTTCTGGCTTTCAAGGTTTCCATTGAAAAGTTGAGAGTGATTCTGATAGGTCTGCCTTTATATGTTATGTGGCCTTTTTCCTTTGCTGCTCTTAATATTTTGCCTTTATTCTGTAGGTTTGGTGTTTTGATTATTATGAGTCGAGAGGACTTCTTTTTGTGGTCCAGTCTGTTTGGTGTTCTGTAAGCTTCTTGTACTTTCATAGGCCTATCCTTCTGTAGGTTGGGGAAGTTTTCTTCTATGATTTTGTTGAATATGTTTTCTGTACCTTTGAGCTGTATTTCTTCACCTTCTTCTATACCTATTATTCTTGGGTTTGGCCTTTTCATGGTGCCCCATATTTCCTGGATATTTTGTGTTAGGGATTTGTTGGACTTGAGATTTTCTTTGGTCAATGACTGTATATCCTCTAGAGAGTCTTCAACAACTGAGATACTCTCTTCCATCTCTCGAATTCTATTGGTTATACTCACATCTTTAATTCCAGATCATTTATCCAGCCTTTCTATTTCCAGCATCGCCTCATTCTGTGTTTTCTTTATTGTTTCTATTTCAGCTTTCATGCCTTGAACTGTTTTCAGTGCTTCCTTCACTTGTTTTGTTGTTTTTTTCTTGGCTTTCTTGAGATTCTTTAAGAGATTCATTTATTTCTTGAATTTTTTGTCTTTTCCTCCAATTCATGTAATTTTTTTGCTCATTTTTCTTCTATTTCTTTAAAGTATTTTCGTGTTTCCTCTTTAAAGGTCTCTATCATCTTCCTAAGATAATTTTTGAGGTCCATCTCTTCTTCATCCTCTGTGTTGGGCTTTTCAGATCTTGCAGGTGTGGAGTCCCTTGATTCTGGTGGTATGATATTGGTCTTTCTGTTGTTGAGTGTGTTCTTATTCAGTCTTCTTCACATGTCTTCTTCCAGTGTGTGCAGATGGGGTCTCTCTATCTCCTCTTGTCACCTGGTAGTGTGTGTGGGCAGGACTTCAAGGTCTGCAGCTCTGTATTGTCTTGCCTCTCCTGGTAGTCTCCTCACTCTGTAAGGGTCAGGCTGGCGGCAGAGAAGGGAAGGAAGAGTGAGGTGTTTCCAGATTCAGGGAGCTCCTCCCTGCCTTGGTGCGTCCACTCTAAGCAGGTGCAGGCCCAGAGAGATCCAGGGTAAATGGGAAGTTGGATAGGAATAGGACAGGAGCAGAGGGTACACTCACCTTGGTAGGGGTCAGGCCAGCAGCAGAGGGGGAAGGAATGGTGAGGTATTGCCAGACTCAGGAAGCTTCTCCCTGCCTGGGTGGGTCCACTTTAAACAGGTGCAGGCCCAGAGGAATCCAGGGAGAATGGGAAGTTGGATAGGAATAAGACAGGAGCAGAGGGTACCATGGTAGGGGTCAGGCTGGCAGAGGAGTCTCCTGCAATTTTAAAGCATGATTTTTGGGGGGTTTTAGCAGTCTAGGTTTATGGTGTTTTTTATATAAATTTGCAGATAATTCTTTGTGCTTCCTACTTAAAGATTTGGCAATAATAAGGAGTTCTTGCTCCTCCAATACAAAGTGTTTTTGCACCTTGGTTTTCTTCCAAGACATTCCTGTCTTTGCTTTTCTTTATTTTCACACAGGATGTCTTTGTGTTTAAAATCTTTTCTGAGCTTTTTAATCCATGGTTCAGTGTGTATGGTTGTTTGAATAAAAATAGCTTATATAAGCTCCCTGGCTCACATAGTTGAATACTTGGTGATCAATTTGTGAAACTGTTTGAGAAGAAGTGTTCTGTCCTTGTTGGAGGAGGTATGGTTGTGCTAAAGGAAATGAGTCACCTGGGGTGGGCTTTGATGTTTTGAAAGCCCAATCCAGGACCGGTGGCTCTCTCCTCTGCTGCCTGCACATCTGATTGTAGAACTCTCATCATTTCTTCAGCACTGTGTCTGCCTGTATGCCACCATGCTCCATACCATGGGACTAAACCTCTGAAACTGTAAGCCAGCCCCAGTTAAATGTTTTGTTTTGTAAGTGCTACCTTGGTCATAGAATCTCTTCAAAGCAATAGAACAATGACTAAGACAGTCCCCCATAGGCTCACACATTTGAATACTTCATCTTCAGTTGGTAGACCTACTTAAGAAGGAGTAAAATGTGTGGCCTTTTTGGAGATGTGGTTGTCCTAGAGAAGGTCCACCACTGGGGTTTGTGGTTTCAAATGCCAGTGTCCTTCCCTGGTAGTTCTGTCTTGTGCTTGTGGATCAAACATAAGCTCTTTACTACTTCTCCAGTGCCATGCCTGACTGTTTGCTGACATGCTCTTTGTCATGATGGTCATGGACTCACCCTCTGAAACTATAATAAAGCTCCAACAAACTTTGTCCTGTAAGCTGGCTTCGTCATGGAGTCTTTTCATATCAGTAGAAAAGTAACTAAGACAGTGTCTATTATTAGTTCGAGGACATTATCAGCCAACCATTCCTCCTCTCAATACTGCTTTACTCCCCCCCACCTCTTCTCCCCACCTCTCCCCTACCTCTCCCTCTCCCTCTCCCTCTGTCTCTGTCTCTGTCTCTCCCTCTGTCTATGTCTCTCCATCTCTGTCTCTCCGTCTCTGTCTCTAAATATTCAATCACAGTGTGTGTGTGTGTGTGTGTGTGTGTGTGTGTGTGTGTGTGTGTGTGTGTGTGTGTTCCTTCACTCCCTCTTTCTCTCTTTCCCTTTCTCTATTTTGGTGTTCATATTAAACAAACATTTTATACATTTTGATACTGTCTTGAACATGTTGCTAACCCATCATCATGCTCACAGAGTTTTTCACTAATCCAAGTAAAGACTACTAATGAGCCAACAAAAACAGTTCTTCATTTCCAAATTCTAGTATTCCCCTTGGTTATCTGACATTTGATTTCTCTTCTAGGTTGCCCTCTATTCAATTAATTATTCCACCAGAATCCTTTACATATGAATCAACTGTTCTCAAGTTGATTCTCCACAAGTCTTACAATTCTCCACAAGTCTGCTGCTTCCGATTCTGATGCCTAATTGCTGTCCTCAAAATGTTTTTCTCCTGGCTTTTGGCATAATCATGTCTTGTGGAAGTCTGAATATGTGGCATTATATAGCAAGGACTGAGTTACACAGGCTTTGAATGTTAGGATGTATGTTATTCTGCTAGAACTAGAGCTGTAACTTTAGTTTATAGCTACAGGTGTCAGGATGTATTCTTCTCTACATTAAATTTAGGCCTTCTGTAGGTATTGGGTATCTGCATCTTCCAGCTATTTCAAAAGACATCCACACTGTCATTGTAGTAGAGACCTAGCAGCATGATGGCTGAGGGCAGTGTTTTATAATTAGCTAAATCATAGTCTTTCACTGAGCCCTGGTTTCTGTGTTACCGATTTCACAGCAGAAATCCACAGTTTTTGGTCTCTCCATAACTATAATCCCTTTTCTGGCTATGGTTCTCTTGATCCAGTTCCTGAGAACTCTGACCCTCTAGTGGCTTTCCCTCTCTGCCCCTTGAAAAGACACTGGGAGACTAGAACTGCCTGGAGTGGAAAAGCTTCTAGTCTTCATTACGAAGAAGATGCTTCCAGAGCCTCTGCAATTTCTTCCAAAGACTGTCATGGCAAGAACCTACTGAGGATGCTGAACAAGTCTAATCACAGCATAGAGACTCAAGACCTTGGGCCCAGAATTGCCTCTCTTTCTTGCTCATCCACACTCATCCCCAGCAGCTTGCCAAAATCACCATTTAAGTATTTTTGCCAGTTTGTTGCCCCAGCTTCCTTTGCTACAGATAAGCAGAGCTCAGCTCTCACTCATATTTACCTGTCTCTCTGGATTTCACAGCCATGCTTTGCTTTGCTATCTCATTGGTTTGAATTATCTGTGGAAAAACAACCACTTTATTTTCAGTAAGCCTGAGTTTTTCTCTCTTGTAAAGATGGGAATGGTGACTTCCTCCACAGCTCATTATATAGTAACCAAGAGCAATGTTTTCAATTTTTACCTACCCTTAGTTTAGCTACCAAAATAAGACAGCTAAATTAGTATGTGTAATTGCTTATAGATAGAAGACCAAGTAAGCAGCATAGTATAATGTGAACTAAAGGGTGTGAGCTTGAAAGACAGTTTGCCTTATTTCAAATTCTAATTGCTGTGTAAGCTTCAGGGGTCATCTACTCAATAAAGGCATGATATCCACATTTTGAGTTTTACAGAAGGAGGCTCCATGTCTGGCATAGAGCTTGATGAATTGTGCCAGTTTACCCTTAAAAATTTTTTTGCTGCATAACTAATTTTACTGTACAATAGGCATTTTATCAGTTCATTAATCAATCAGCCAGAATTAAATCTACATGAATTAGAATTAGGAGGAAGGAGGCCCTATTCTATAGGTAGTTAGTGTTATAGGCCCAAGGAAAACAACAATGTCCACATGCCCTGAAAGAACTCGTAGTGAGATCCAAGGATGTGGAGATTTTTATACTGAACTTTATACACACTCAGAAACTCAAATCCCAAATCCTTAACTCGTCAAGATCTCACTAATTTTATCACCAGCCTTTGCCTTTTCAACTTCCTGGGTCTCCACCCACCTCTACCTGCAGGACCCCACACCCACATCCATAACCTTTTGTAACTGGTTTCCCACTGGAGGACTTTCCTGAGACTGTGGTATTCTACCCAGCCCATCAACCAATCAGAATTCACACACACACACTCGAATTAACCAACCAGATTCATCCCTGCTCCATATCTAATTTACATATGTAATGAATCAAATTGTATTCTTTCCAGTACATAAAACCTCACTCCAAATCACTACTTGGCAACTGATTTTCAAGTTCCTTTCTGAATACAGAAAGCTGTTTCCTTTATTTCTCAGTGAACCCTGCCACCCTGCCCATCTTACAACTATCCTCCCTTGTCAATTTCTCACAATAATGAGACAACAAATTTAAATCTGACCCAGGAAACCAGTAACACTGAGGAAGAAGCAAAGATGTAAACAAAACTAAGAAATTGAAAGCCTCTTGTGTGTGTGGTTTTAAATTCTGTACCTAAATTATGTCCCAAAGCAGACTTAAGGTGAATGGAAGAAAAGCAAACAGGGCTCCCCCCCCCCAAATATTGAACACCAACCTTAATTTGATAATTTGTTCAAGACCAAAAACTAGGGACCACTAAAAATAAGATTAAAGGCAAATAAGAAATATCTGTCTTTTCCAGTCAGCTTTGTTGGTGCTGGAGAAAATACACTCATGCCTCCCCCAGAAAAATCAAGATTAAAGAACATGGGGAATTATTAAGGAAAGGAAGCATTTAACAGGAGGTGTGAGAACACATCTCTACTAAGTGTGACACCTCCACCTGGGAACAAATGTCAGACTAGGAATTTGACATCGGAATCCCACAAGAGCCTACATTATTAGAAATTCTTTGCAGGTTGTAGGCAATCAATCAGGTGCACAGCCAAAGTGACCAAAACAATTTGAAGAGACAAGATTGGTTTAATTAGAGGGCAAGTGGAGGATTGTAGAGAATTCTCCCATCAGGAAATATTTGGTCTGGGAGGTTCTGAAGGTATCAGAGCATCCCAGTTAACTGAGAACAGGGTGACTGGTATGTACAAAGTTCAGGTACAGTAAGAGCACTTTGAAATCTCAGCTGTTTCCTTATAGCTCTCATTCATTTTGTACAAAATTGTAGCCTGGCTAACAATCTTAATCAGACTAGGCTAAATAACTGTGATGATAATCACTAAGTTAGAAAAACACCAATAAGAGGTGAAGGAAACTGGCTGAGAGATGCCCAGCAAGCACCTGCTCTCTACACGAAGGATTCAAAGTGACAGCTGCATGGCTATATTCTGAAATGAGTTGGTGTGGGAGAACACTGAAAATCAATAGCAGAAAAACAGAAAACTTGTAAGATTTAGACACCAGAAGGGTAACATAGAGAAATCAAATATCCTAGTACATGCCATCATCGCACCACAGCCAGAAGAGGGTTAGTCTCCCTTCTTTATGATAAGGGTTAAGAATACAGTCCCAGTAAACTAAATCAGCAAGGATAGCAGGATTCCTAGCTATTAATACATTCAATGTCCTAACAGACTTGTAATCTAACAAGGTAAGTAAGTGAAATCTATACAGGAACCTTGCATCAGAAAAGGATGTCACACAATGTGGAAGCCAGGAGCCAGAAGCCATCTTGAGAGAGGACCTACTTGTCTGAATTCCCACTATTCTAGAGAGTCACAGACCCCAGAATAGTCCCATGTACATAGTCCCAAGTACATAGTCCCAAAGACAATACACAGCACATAGCTGTCATGTAAACCAAAACTGGTCCTACAGAGTAAGTCTACCTCAGACTTACTGGGTGCTCTATACTAAGAAGAGGGGATTTCAAGGTGATACACTAAAGAACTAAAGAATTGCAAAGTTCTTCCTCCTCGACCAACAACAGCCAGTCTGGTAAAAGATCATAGTGATGTCAATACTGAAAATCGTTGTTCACAAAGTTCCAGCCATCTTCTTTCTCCTGTGCATATAGAGAAACCTGGCACAGAGGAAGTACCCTTGTTTATATACATAAATATGCTTACATGGTCTCATGCAAATTCATAGTATTGCCAAGCATCCAGATATTGCCTCATCCTGACAGCACACACACACACACACACACAACCAAGGATGGTCTGAAAATAAACTGCCTCATGCCTACTGAATTCTGAATACCCTGGAGAAGGAATTTTCCAAGCTCCCAATTCAATCAACTCCATGCATTTCCAAGCAGGAACTACATCTGGAGTCTGGGAGAGAAAACACGTGTCTGCAGTTTATCCCTGGGTGTACACATTCATAGGAGCCCCTAGGAAGAATTGTGTCTATTTCCAGGCATAACCCACTCTAATTCTCTCCTGGCAGGCACTATGACTAAATGAATATGGGAGAGAAAACCCCAGGAAATGCCCACCTCCAGGCACACATGGCTAGGGGATGACTAAGTTGTGTTTCTGGGCAAGCCCACCCACATTTCCCACCACAGCTCTGCCATCATAGGTCTATGACTACCACCATCTGCCGCTCCCGCATTTTGTCTGACCAGACATTGCTGACAAGATTGAGAACCAAGAGGAAGTGTTGGGTTTTCTGTGCCTAACTTTCCCAGAGAAGTACCTGATCCTGTACCATGACCTGGGCAAGGATCATTTGTTTCTACTTCTTACTGCTTACTATTAATGATATCAAAAAGCCTTGCAAGTAACAGGACTAATGTCAACCACCTGATGGGGGATATGTTTCTGTATGCTGTGAATATATGTTTCTCTTATGGGCCAATGAATAAAGCTGTTTCAACCAATGGACAGGCAGGATTTAGCCAGGCAAGAAATTTCAACAAAGACAGAGAGAGGTAGGAAGTAAAGTGGAAGGATGCCATGTAGGAAGGTAGGATGGCTGGGCATTCTCTGGTAATCTATATATCATGTGGAGATATATAGATTAATAGAAATGGGGTAATACTTAAGAGAGAGATAGTCAATAAGAATACTGAACCTCACAGAAGCTTCTCAGTTTCAGGAGGTCCCATTTATCAATTGCTGATCTCAGTGTCTGTGCTACTGGTGTAATGTTCAGGAAGCAGTCTCCTGTACCTGGCATAACTGGATGCTGGCACGTAGAAGCCTGCAGATAGATCCGTGTCTATTGCCATGCACAAAACTTAAGTCCAAATGGATCAAAGAACTCAACATAAATCCAGCCACACTGAACGTATTAGAAGACAAAGGGGAAAATACCCTTGAATTAATTGGTACAGGAGACTGCTTCCTGAACATTACACCAGTAGCACAAACATTGAGATCAGCAATTGATAAAACTGAGAAGCTTCTGTAAGGCAAAGGACACAGTCAGCAAAACAAAATGGCAGCCCAAAGACTGGGAAAAGATATTCACCAACATCTGACAGAGGGCTGATCTCCAAAATATACAAAAACTCAAGAAGCTAGTCTGCAAAACACCAAAAAATCCAATTAAAAAGTGGGGTACAGAACTAAATAGACAATTCTCAATAGAGGAATCTAAAATGGCTGAAAGACACATAAGAAAGTGTTCAACATCCTTAGCCATCAGGGAAATGCAAATCAAAACAACTCTGAGATACCATCTTACTCCTGTCAGAATGGCTAAAATCAAAAACACCAATGACAGTTTATGCTGGAGAGGATGCAGAGAAAGAGGAACACTCCTCCACTGCTGTACAACTTGTACAACCACTTTGGAAATCAGTATGGCACCTCCTCGGGAAAATGGGAATCAGTTTACCACAAGACCCAGCAATTCCACTCTTAGGCATATACCCAAAGGAAGCACATTCCTACAACAAGGACATCTGTTCAATGATGTTCATAGCAGCACTATTTATAATAGCCAGAACCTGGAAGCAACCTAGATGCCCCTCAACTGAAGAATGGATAGGGAAAATGTGGTACATTTACACAGTGGAGTACTACTCAGCAGAAAAAAAAACAATGGAATCTTGAAATTCTCAGGCAAATGGATGGAACTCGAAGAAACCATTCTGAGCGAGGTAACCCAGTCACAAAAAGACAAACATGATATGTACTCACTCATACCAGATTTTAGACATAGAGTAAAGGATTACCAGCCTACAATCCACACTACCAGAGAAACTAGAAAACAAGGAGGACCCTAAGAGAGACATACATAGTCCCCTGGAGAAGCAGAAATGGACAAGATCTCCTGAGCAAATTGGGAGCATTGGGGAAGGGGGGATGGAGCTAGGAAAATGAGAAGGGGAGAAGAGGAGGGGTGAGGAGGACATGAGGGAACAGAAAGGTTGAGGTGGGGGTAGAATAGAGGAGAGCAAGATAAGAGATACCATAATAGAGGGAGCCATTATAGGTTTAAAGAGAAATCAGGCACTAAAGAAATGTCTGTAGATCAACAAAGATGACACCAAGTAACAATCTAAGCTACAGAGGAAAGTCTACCTTAAATGCCCTCCCCTGATAATGAGATTGATGACTGACTTATATGCCACCCGATAGCCATCACCTAGCACCTGGTGGAAGTGGAAGCTGATACCCACAGCTAAACCTTGAACTGAACTGGAATCCAGTTGCAGAGTAGGAGGAGTAATGAGTGAGTAATGGTGAAACCCACAGAAATACTGACCTGAACAAGGGGGAACTCTTGGTTCCCAGACTGATAGCTAGGAAACCAGCATGGGACTGATCCAGAACCCATGAACATGGGTGTCAGTGAGGAGACCTCTGAAATCTATAGGGCCTTTTATAGTAGATCAGTACTTATCCCTAGCATAGTAATAGACTTTGGGAGCCCATTCCACATAGAAGGAAACTCCCTGAGCCTAGATGCAAGAGGGTGGGCCTAGGCCCTATTCCAAAGGACATGACAGACTCTGAAGACCCCCATATGGAAGGCTTCACCCTCCCTGGGGAGCAGAAAGGATATGGGATAGGTAGGGTTTTAGTTGGAGGAGTGGGGGAGGAAGGGAGGGAGAGGGAACTGGGTTTGCCATGTAAAATTATCTTGTTTCTAATTTAAATAAAAAATGGAGAGAAAGAAAAAAAAGAAATGCAAAAAAAAAGAAAATGAGTAGAACATGAAAGAAATCACTCAAAATCAGCAGTCTTTCTATAAACCAGTAATGAAAAGACGATAACCTGTTCTGTTGTCAAATTGACACAAAAGGTAAGTATTTGGGGAAAGTATCTGAGTTATTTAGCTTTTGTCCATGTGACACAAACTAGAGTTACTTGGGAAAGGAGAACTTCAACTGAACTGGCCTGATCAGATTGGCTTGTGGATTCATCTGCCTTGATCAATGAGCCCAGCCTATGGTAAGAGGATCTGGGATTTATAAGGAGAAAAAAAAAAGCTGAGCATGACTAGAGGGACATGGTTTCTGCTTCAGTGCTTATTCCAGTTCCTGCCCTAATTTCCTGAAAAAGATGGACTGTAACCTGGACACATGAGATAAAATAAAACTCTTCATTCCCTAAGCTGCTTTTAATCAGGAATATTTTATCACAGCAACAGAAAGGAAACTAGAAAATAGCAGCATTTCTAATAGCCTTGAAGAAATACATAAGATTCAATTTAAATAAGGATGTGAAAGAGTGATACATGTATGTTACAAAACACGAGTAAAAGGAATTACAAAATACACAGAAAGGTTAAAAGGCCAATGTTCATACTTGAGCGAGTACTAAAAGGTTGTTACTATTCTAAGAAGTGTACATATTAAATATTACCCCAATAAAATTCTATAACATCCTTCACAGTATTAGAAAAATTAAAATTAGAAAAATTCCTAAAATTCCTTTGAAAGTACAAAATTCCCTAAATATCTGAAAGAATCATAAGCAAAAAGGATAATGGAAGAAGCATTATCATTTCTGATTTGAAGACTTCCTACACAGCCACAATAACCAAAGTATCTTGATGCTGGTGTAAGAAAATTTGAATAGAATAGAGAACTGAGAAACAAAATAAAGCAATCTAAAGTCAACCCCTTCTTTAAAAAGGTGCCAAAATGTACAGAAGGCAAAATACACCTTCAAAAATGGGACTAGAAAATCTGAATATGCACAGGCAGAGTGCAACTTGAATACCATTACCTGCTCACAAACATCACTCAAAATGGATTGTGATTTTAGTATAAAATTTAGAGCTCTGAAAGCATAGGACATACACTTCAATGTATCAGTACAAACTCTGCTTTGTGTGTGTTAGACTAGGGAAGCACAGTAAACAGATATAAATGTTAAGTAATGAGATTAATCAAATTGAGAGTTTCTACACTACAAAGAAAACAATCCACAGACTAAAATGGCTAAATTTTTATATTTACCTGATAATGACTAGAATATATCTCAAAGACAAAAAGGAAAGAAATGATCAAATTTTCAAATGCAAATTATCTTAATATACATACTTTAAAAAATATGAGTGGCCAACAAATATTTAGGAAAAAATGTCACATATCATTAGATACCAGCAATGTACCAGGAAAATATACAATTAAAATAACTACAATCAAATAAGAAAATGCTAGTTACGATGTTAAAGAAAAGGAACATGTTAAAGAAAAGGTAGTGGGGGTGTAAATTACTATAACAGTTATGGAAAGTCCCATGGGTTGTCTTCCAAACTCAGGATATAGCATCATTCCAATATCTCATTTCTGGGCATGTATCCAAGAGAGATACCCACGTTAAAAAGAAATAATGCATAGATGTGTTAACTGCAGCACTATTCACCTAGCTATGACATCACCCTAGATGTGTATCAATGTCACTATAATAAAATACTGCCAGGGCACAATCTTAAAAGTTTATTCTGGGTCACAGTTCAGGAAGCTAGAGAGGCACAAACTTTTGTATTTAAATTAAAAACAATCTTATTTTACATGTCAATTCCAGTTCCCTCTCTCTCCCATCCTCCCATGTCCCCCACCAACCACCCATCACATCCCACTTCTGCTCCCCAGGGACAGTGAATCCTTCCATGGGGAATCATCAAAGTCTGTCACATCATTTGGGGGAGAGCCTAGGCCGAGTATCTAGGCTGAGAGACTATCCTTCAATGGGCTCCCAAAGTCCATTTGCACACTAGGAATAAATACTGTTCCACTAAAAGAGGCCCCATAGACTGCTCAGGCCTCCTAAGTGACACCCACATTCAGGGGAGAGGCACAACCTTTTAACATCTTGGTCAGTCAGGACATGAAGAGCTTGGAGCTAAATGACAAAGGGATATCCTCATAGCAACCTACTTCATGTAGGTAGTCCACAGTTCCAAGTATTCTGTAACCTCCCAAAATTGTGACTGGGGAACACAGGCTCAAACACATGAGCCTGTTAGGTACATTTAATGCTCCAACTATAATAAACAAATACAAAAACATTTATACGTGGTAGAATATTACTCAGTCATAAGGAAAAATGAAGTCCTGTTATCTGTAACAAAGTAGATCTAGAAAGATACTGTGTTAGGAAAAGGATGTCAGATACAGATAGGCAAACAAAGCAAATTGTCACATGTTGAAATGAAGAGGAAAAGTCAACGTGACAGCACAATATTGACTGATAGATTGGAGGAAGGGTACAGAGAGAAGTAAGGATGGGAGAGTGGCAGACCCATCAGTGCACATTGTGAGCATGTATAGAAACATCACAGTGAATCCCAATAATATGTGTTAACTGAGAAATGTATTAATAAAAGCAATGCTTCTCTAACTTGAAAAGTCTATGGAAAATATCACTCAAATGCCTTCTCACTTCCTCATGGATTTGCCATCTCTCATCCCAGATACAAGTAAGTAGACTTTTACATACCCCCTACTTGCTGTGCCTGCTGTCATCACCCAAAATGATGACCATCAAAGATGATCGTCATCAGTCTAAGAATACCATAAGGTTGTCGATTTCACTGTGGTGCTGACATTGCATCCACAGTGTCATAACATACTTCATTCCAAGCTGCCTTCCTCTCTGGTTCTGCAATGCCAGTGCTGTCTTCTCCCAGGTGCTATGGAAGGAATATTCGCAAAACATTATTTTGATTCTGCTTCGTCTTTAATTTCAAGAACTTCTCCAAAAAAGACATCCCTTAGAATGAGATGTAAGATCATCAAAGCTTTAATGAAAGAAGCCATGTGGGATGTGCACAGACTGGGGAGAGACAAATATGATTCTAGAAAAAGAGCTGGGACCCCTCATCTGAGAAATGAACACTTGTACCCCATATTG